TTCATATGACGTGACATGTGGCCAAGTATGGTGACCCATACTCGGAATTAGTGCTCTGCATTTACCCATCCAAAGTGCACACACACAGCAGTGAACACAACACACACACCGTGAACACACACCCGGAGCAGTGGGCAGCCATTTTTGCTGCGGCGCCCGGGGAGCAGTTGGGGGTTCGGTGCCTTGCTCAAGGGCACCTCAGTCGTGGTATTGAAGGTGGGAGAGAGCGCTGTACATTCACTCCCCCCACCTACAATCTCTGCCGGTACGAGACTCGAACCCGCAACCTTTGGGTTACGAGTCCGATTCTCTAACCATTAGGCCACGACTTCCCATATAGCACCATAATTAATATATTTATATACTTGCAAAGTATACAAATACTTATTATATGTAGTTGCAGTGTGTATTAATGTGTATTTAAGATACTGAAATAGAATAGACTTTGCTTATTTAAAGTCTTATACTTTAAAATAAAAAAAAGGAGGGAAAAATAAAACATTTAGCTGAACTTTTGCTGGAATAGTTGAAATTGCTGAAAATGTACTCACCCAAGCTGAATCCCACCTGTCGCAAAAAGTCAGTGACTTCTCTTATAAAATGGCATTTTTTTTGGTGTAATCTCTAAAAAACGTTCAATCCAAAAGTATTGTTTAGTGTAAAACATGTTGAAGATTAGCCGATAGGCTGTCAATTCATTAAATGATAAGCTGTTTCCTCTAAAAAGCTGTTTATTCAGAGTAGTAAAGCCTGTCCTAAATTGACATCCATTCAAAAAAAAAAAAAAAAAAACGGCCTCTGGTCTCCTTTCCCACGTACTGGCAAACCGGAAGCGTTAGCATTAGCCATTATGCTTTTTTGGCTAAAGGTTGCTGGCTTGCCTTCTAGTGGCTTTGGCTAAACTCTGCAGGGCTGTGGCCCTCCAGGAAATGAGTTTGACACCCCTGCTTTAAACTTTGGTTGCTGGCCAAAATACCAGTCCATAATAACAATTCCTCCATTGAAAAAAAAAAATCCATCTCCTGTTGTCATCTCACATCAAAATCCACCAGCATATTTGTTTAAAACGGCTTTGGACTTTTCGCTTGTAGGCTAAGTGTGCCACTTGGGACAGGGCCTAACATGACGATGACTTGACTAGAACATGAGTCAAGTCCTTCGGATGAGACGTTAAACCGAGGGCCTGCCTCTGACCATCATGGCTTCCTAATCATCCCCATTCACTAATTGGCTTCATTACTCTGTCTCCTCTCCACCAATAAGCTGGTGTGTGGTGGGCGTTCTGGCGCAATATGGCTGCCGTCGCATCATCCAGGTGGATGCTGCACACTGGTGGTGGTTGAGGAGATTCCCCCCCTTTCATGTAAAGCGCTTTGAGTGCCCAGAAAAGCGCTATATAAATGTAACGAATAATAATAATAATGACCATGACCTTGACCTTGACAAAGGCTCACCATCAGCGGGTTACAGAAAAAGCTAGACAAGGCACAATGGAAACATTAGGAGTAACACAAGGATACACAAGGACTAATAACTAAACAAGACACACCTGAAAGTAATTAAGACAATGAACCAATGACAAGACAGAACTGAAAACACCTGACAATATAAAACAACAAAAACAACACAACAGGTGTGTCGACTTGAAGCGGAGCTGCGCAGAACGTTCGGTGTATGATATCAAAGTACCGTGAGAGCTATAGAGAGCAGACGGCTCCTTATGCATTCGAATCGCTCTCACGGTACTTTGATGTCACACACCGATCGGTCTGCGCAGTGCCGCTTCAAGTCGAACACACCTATTAACAAGAGAAACACATCACATGGGGAACAAGGGAATCACACAACATGACAAGAACTATGACAATACGTCAAAATAAAAGACATGAAAACGTGAACAAAACCAGAAACAGACGCGACACATTGGTGAGCAAGTGATGTAATGCAAAATTTCTCCAAATCTGTTCTGATGAAAATCTGTCGAATGGCCTAAGGGTGAGCACATTTATTAGCAAACTTTCTTTTTTGAGTGAAGTTAAATTAACATTACATTTTTGTTCAACACATAAAAAAAAATTTTCCCACAAAAGTTCACATACAATAATTGATGGATCCCTTGCAGTACTAGTACCAAGAACCCCCTAGGGTTCACAGACACCCTGTTTGAAGATCCACTGATGTAGTGCTGTGTTTTTTAAAGGCACGTATGGGTTTATTATTTTTCCATTTGGCTAACTACTTTGTTTATAAATTAAACCTAGTTAAAATATGACTTAAGTCATGATGGTTAATGTCATGTAACACAGAAGACAAGATCTGTCATTGACACCAACGAAACAAAATATGTATTACATAATATATTCAGATTAGACGTAACACAGACTGGAAAAGGTTAACGGTTAAAACGGCTAAAACCACGTAACCAAAACAATGATACTCTGTCCATGCTATTTCTAGGTTTGCTGACACTAATGCAAAATCCTTTCATCATCATTAGGCCAGTTTTAACTATTAGTAAGAAGTGCAATAGATTTCTGTAATATTTAATATATACATGCATACTGTATATATCAAAGGTGGTGACCTACTTTTTAATTTTGTTGAGATTTGTTAAATGTGGAATTCTAAAGATAGATTCCAATGATTTAACACAATTCTGTCAAAAGTGGGGGACAGTTTCTCTCAATTTCTAATTTCTCACAGCAATAAAATAACAAAAATATGTAAATAAATAAACTGTCAGTATAACAGAGAGTGGAAGAAGATGCAATGAAAGTAAATGGTAACTAAGGCTGTCAAATACAATCTTCTTTATCATTATATGTATGTTCTTCCATTATGAAAAATCCTAACCTATACACAAATGACACCAAAGGACTTCTGGCTTCTGATTTCAGGGGTCAAGTCACACCACATTTGGACAGCAGTGGTAAGTAAAATGAAAAGCCATCTGAGGCAAATCCTCTTAAGGTTATAAAATACCTGATATATTTATATATGCGAATTTTTACGCAAGCTTGCCTATGTTCCAGTTCATCATAAAAATACAATTCCTAACCTGACGTGCAATGTGTAAATGGACTTTCTTTCTTTATTTTTGTCTTATAGTTATTTGGCATGTGGGGACTGGTTCCACGAAACCCGAGGAGAATGGCTTCATTGAAGATGGTAAAGCATTTCGATGCAAGAACTGCATTTAGGTAATAGTTGTTGTTTTTTTCATTGAAATATTCTAACAACTTATCTGAAAGTATATATAAAAAAATCATATGTGCTCCTTTTAAAAAAAGTAAATATATTTTATGAAATAATAAAATATCCAACAACTGTCAAGGCACACATCTCAGTTTTTGCATAAACAGCCACAATTGAATATCAACCCTAGTTCTAAGACCTCTGGGAAGACACAACCACAACAATCATATCACCCAATCACCAGCAGAGGTCATAATCCCCACAGAATTGATCCAATCTCCATTACAACCTCTATACATCTTTAGTTTATCTTTAATTTTCATGCTTTCTTTTGCATTCCATTTATCTTCCTTATAGTTGTCTGTTTAAATTAAATCTGTCTACCTTTAATTTTGGATTATGATGCTGGAGTTTGCATGCTCATGTAAAGGATTTAAGATTAAAGATACTGCAGAGCATATCAAGAATAGTGTATTCATGCTGAATATGTATGTATTGTGTTTGGTATTATATGTAACAAACAACAGCATATATAAATACAAATTCAGCATGAATACTGCATTCTTGATATGGTCTTACTGATTCACGTTAAACTAATTCAAATTAATAGATCATGCATAATAAAAGATGGCTCAGTTTTGTTTGAAAAACATTTCTTATTCATATTTTCATTTATGCTCATACTATAACTGTACCTTGTTTTCAACACCATCGTTATTTTTTATTTTATTTTTTGCCCAGTTTTGATTGATTGATTGATTGTCTTTAGGTGTTTTGTTTTCACATATAGTACACTTTAAATGAGTCAGTTGAAGTAAACCAAAAAGGGAGCCAGCTGCAAGAGACCTCTCGTTTTGGTGTTCACAAAAACCAGGTGTGAAAACGCTCTAAAAATGAAATTAAACTAACAGTACAACAGGGGTAAGTTAACCTTTACTTACAAAAAAGCCTAAACCTCGACACTGGATAAAAACTAACAAAAAAGCCTAAACCTCGACACTGGACAAAAACTAGTATGCAGTGAGAAAATACTGAGACTGTGGAAGCATTTTTTCCATAATGGCTACAAGGCCGTCTCGCATGGGTAGCGTGGCCGAGCGGTCTAAGGCGCTGGATTAAGGCTCCAGTCTCTTCGGGGGCGTGGGTTCGAATCCCACCGCTGCCAACACTTTTGAATGTATGACGTTGACTTGGTCAAAAATAGTTAGCAGCACTGAGAACGTTTTCAAAAACCTTTTACAGCTCTCGTGAAAAAATACAAACGTTTGAATGTCTACATGTGGATGTTCCAACACAGGCGGAAGTGCTTTACCGTACTGATGAAATATTGAGTTGACAGATCTCGACGGAAATATCTCATTATTCAGCATACGAAAATAAATAGATAAATAAATAAAACAGACTGAATTTCGGTTCCAAGTATTGCAGTTCAATGTCACTTTAAACAGGTGCAACAGACGAATATACAATGTGTGCTAGTAAATTAAAGCTAACGTTACTTGCAGTGAGAAATTAAGTTTCGTGTGAAATGTTTGAGCGGTCTCTAGTGGTGTTTCACAAACGACAATAGTGCAGACTATGCAAGTATAAATCTGCTGTAAGTATAAACAAAAGTGAGTGCTGTTGTGAATGATCGCTTAATCTTTCAAATATATTTTATTCACTTTATCTTCAATCTATATCTTGAATAAAACATAAATGAGAACGGCCCAAGGGGACCTTTGCAAACTGTGCAAACGCATTTCAGTCTCATGTTTTTTGAACCTTTTTAAGACCCGTAGTGACATACGGGTACTTACCAGCGTGTTGTTTGTGACCAACCTTGTGTTACGGAAGTTTATAAAGTGAATTCTCATCTACTTTATTATAAATAATTCTATTTGATGGCTGATGTGAAGTTCTGAATTGATGAAGCTGTGTGAATAAATTTGGCGCTGTCCTACAGCTTATCTTGTAAGTATCTGTCATATGAAGCTATCGGTGCCTATTTGAGTGAGTGAAAATATTCAGTTTACTTGTGTTCAGGCAGCAAGCCTTTGTAACCGTTTTGATGTTCATACACATTCCTGCAACACCCGTAAAACAACTGTACTATATTAGTTGCTCCGATACATCTAGCTCAGGGATGGGCAACTGGCGGCCCGCAGTGTCTTTTAGTACGGCCCGCTGGATCATATTAGACTCGGATGATCAATTTTAAAACATTTGAAAAGCAAGTCACGTAAAGATTGCTTTCAGTTTATGATGTTAATACTATCTCCAACCAGGAGAGCTCGCTAGTTTCCAGCCGCTCCCCTATTAATGTCAGCGTAGTAGGACGTGCACTCTAATGTAAACAGTGTTGCCAACTTAGCAATTTTGTTGCTAAATTTAGCAACTTTTCAGACTACCCTAGCAACTTTTTCTTCCAAAAGCACCTAGCAACAAGTTAAGCTATTTTTAAATTTTATTTGGCTACTTTTAGCCACTTTTGATAAGTTTCTCAAACAATAAAAAGGCACACATTTTCCAACAAAATTACACAAAAAGAGGCAACCAAAGATGCCTAGCAGTACACAACATCACGTGAATTAAGTTATTGCTATTTGCAGTT